CCAGTCCTGCCCAGCAGCAGCTACTGAGCAGGGCCCTGCATTGGCCAGGGGAGGGCACTGCCTGGGTGCAATGCCCCAGACACAGCGCTGAGAGCCGAGCAGGGCCCCGGCAGGACTGTGGGGCAGGCTGGGGCTTGCTGACCCTGGCTGTGAGCCCGGGGCGTGACTGCCTAGGGGCATACGGGTCACTCCCAAGCCCCTCAGACTGTGCAGCTGCCAACCAGCTTCTGCGAAAAGGGGAGGCCCTGGGCGGAGCAAAGGGAGGGACCGGAGCCCCCAGCAGGACTGTGGGGCAGGCTGGGGCTTGCTGACCCTGGCTGTGAGCCCGGGGCGTGACTGCCTAGGGGCATACGGGTCACTCCCAAGCCCCTCAGACTGTGCAGCTGCCAACCAGCTTCTGCGAAAAGGGGAGGCCCTGGGCGGAGCCAAGGGAGGGACCAGACCAGGGAATCCCCAGGTGATCCATGGCCTCTTCCCCTCCCCAGACACAGGCCAGGGCCACCCTCCCTATGGCCGGCGCGGAGTCCACAGAATCCAGGGCAACCCACTCGCCTCCTCTGGGATCGCTGCAAATTCTGAGCCAGCGCTGTCACGTTACTGGATCTTGAGGGGAGCAGCCAGATCACTGCTGCACCCAGAGGTGGGGGTGCTGGCCCCAAGAATGGTATAGAAGGGGGCCAAGTGAGGTGCTGAATAGAAGCTTATTATCTGATAATCCTATGTAAGCTATTTATGTGGCTGTATAATGTCTGTGTGGATACTGGATATTTCTCTGCATGTGGTTGAGCATTGGGCAGAGCCCGGCCTGTGGACATGCTAATCAGCGAGGCCCTGTGGGACAATGGCACTCGATGGGCCAAGGACACACCTAAAGAATGAGGGCAGACACCTAAGAGCGGCCAGCAGAGAGAGGCTGAGGACCAGGTGATCTCCTGCAGCCAAGAAGAGACCAGGAAGGAGGGATAAAGATGCCATGTGGCTGACTCCATCTTGTTCTCAGCTCAGCACTTCATCCCAGAGGCAGCAGTGCAGGGATCGAAGAGCCCGGAAGAGCTGTGAACCCATCCTGATGCTAGGATGTGCAACAAGGACTTTTAAACCAGCAGCTGTAACATCTCTGCTAGAGCCTGCATCGAGGACTGGGAGATTCGGTGCATGTAACGTACTATCCTGTAACAACCTGACTCTCATGCTTTTCTTTCTTGTGGTAATAAACCTTTAGTTGTTAGATGCTAAAGGATTGGCCCAGCGTGATTTGTGGGTAAGGTCCAGAGGGTAAATTGACCAGGGATCTGTGGCTGGTTTCTTGGAACCGGACAGAACTTGTTCGGGGTAGGTGGGATTGGGTGCTAGGACCCCCCCAACCAGGTATGAGGCCCGGGGCCATCTGGGGCACGGATATTGCTGGGGTGTCGGAGGGGTTTTGCTCGTGAGGCTTCAGGCAGGCTGCTGAAGCGCTCTGTGGGACTGGTTTGTGGCCTGTTTGGAGAGGTCACCAGCCTGGGGGCTGTAAGGAGCCCCGGATTTGAGCAATTCGCCCTGAGCGGACGCCCTCAGCTGTGGCCAGACACAGCCCGGTCCGTCACAAGCGCCCACAAGGAGCAGCCTCTGGCGTGTGGCCAGGGAGATCCAGGGGTCACATGAGGCTGGGCGCGGACGCGGGGCTGGGGCCCGTCACACAACTCTTGCAGAGGTCCAGCGCCTCAGCCTCCTGGCTTTTGGAGGCGGCATGTTCCCAGCTGGGGTGAGCAGTCCAGTCAGGTGCTCACACGGCTTTGGCCACCCCTTTCGCTTACAAAGCGCCTCAGCACTGCTGGCCACGATGTCGAGGGGCCCCCCATCGGCCTGCAGACGGAGGTTCTCCACCGGCCAAGCACCCATTTCCCTGGTGGTCCCTGCTAGCACCTCCTGCCCAACAGGGCACCAGGTCCCCAGTGGCAGCAGGGCGGAGCACCACGTTACCACCGCTTAGGGTGCACACTCGGAGACCTGCGCCCTGCCTCAGACAGGAAGGCTGGGCAGGGCTTGCCTAGACACGGCCCCCACCCCGGGGTCTCTGGAGATCCAAGTGGCCAGAGGAGTCCCTGGGGACAGGTGCCACTGAGGCCCGCAGGGTCTGGTCTGTGGGGTGCCACTGAGGCCTGGTCTGTGGGGTGATGCCTCCGTCTGGAGACACGGGTCGGTGTCCAGCATCGCTGGCTTCCCTGATACCCCATCGGAGGCAGCGTTGCCATCGGCACCACGCAGGCCAGGCCTGTCGACACCAGCAAGGTGACAGGGCAGGTGGCACTGACATTGGGGCTGTGTCAGCTCCAGCAAGTCCCGGGCCACCTCGAACGTACCCTGCCTGGCGGGGGGGCCTGGGTCACCTGCCCCCCACTTCTGGCTCTGGACTCACCGGCTCCCTGAATGGTGGGAATGGAAGGTTCTGTGGTGAGTGAGGCAGGCTTGGGGGGCCCGGCAGAGGACGCACCCTGTGGCCCCTCTGCCCTCTTCTTCCTAGAGCGATGCCCCCACGTGCTGGGCTTCAGGGCTGGAGGCCAGTACTCCCGGGTAGTCGCCTCCTTTGGCGCGAGGGGTCCCGTATGGATGCCGGAGCCACTTGGGGACAGAGCGCTGCCTCCATCAGCAGGCACTTCAGCCAGGCGTCTCTCCCCTTCGCCCTAGGTCTTGCACTTTCCGCCTGGTGACCCTCCCTGAGCCCTTCAGGCAGGAGTTGCACAGGCTGCCGCGTGGCAGAGGGGCCAGGGGCTTCCCACAGGCCTTAGCCTGGCTCTGAGGGAGCGGGAGGGGACCCCCAACCAATGGAGGCTGCCAGCAGGACAACGGCCAAGAGCTATTAGCACCCCCAGGCGGCAAGGGGGAGCTGAGCCCTAGCACGCTGCCACAGCGGTGCCATGCCAGGGGCTCCCCAGCCGAGCCATCGGGCACTCCCCGCGTCCATGGAGACGGCTCCCCCCTGCGGGGGTGCAGCCGGGAGCCCTGAGAAGCCGCCTCCCGCTGTTTGGGTTTCTGTGGCTAGCGTCCTGCACTACGCTCCCGGTTTGCGTCTCGGGCACCGCGCTGCGGCCGCCAGAGCCTGGCAATGCTTGTACAGGTCGAATCCTTGGGGAGAGCTGAGCTCCGTTCTCCGCCAAAGGCCCATGCCCAGCCTGTGGCCCCGGCACACACTGGATCCCGAGGGGCCTGCCATACCCCGGAAGCATGTGAGCCAGACAGGGCTTGCGGCTAGCCCCCTGCACGGGGGCCCCCGCACTGCGGAGGGAGGAAACGGGCCGGCACCAGGAGGGCCCACCACAGATGGATGCTGCCGCGCCCATTGGCCTATTCCCACTCTGAGAGACGGTCCCCTCCTCCAGGAATCAGACAGCCAGCAGGTCCAGCTTCTCCCCACCCAGCGGCACGTGGCCCCTACCTGGATACGGGATGGAGAGGAGGGTGAAGTCAGCGTAGCGCTGGGCTTTGTCCACTTTCTCGGAGGAGGTCACGCTGAGGAGGAGAGAACAGGGCTCAGCACACGGAGAACCTGCAGCGAAGCCATTCCTCCGATCCTGCTCCAGACCAGACCGTCCCAGGCGAGGGGCAAGAGTCCAGCACGTGGACAGTTGCCCCAGCTCAGCCCAGGATTCCCAAACACTCCTCCTCCCACCCCAAGAGGAGTCTCCCAATCGACCGTCACACCAGCTCGGCCTCCCCGGAGGAATCCCATCACCACTCCGGGGACTGCGCCCCACAGCCCCCCACGACACACAGGAATCTCACGCAGAAGACAACCAAGTCCAGCAGCCTGCTGGAGCAGGGACGGAAGAGAGGGGCGGGCCTCTGGATTTCCCTGCAAGGCACCAGCTGAAGGCCTGGAGAACCCTCCAGGGGAGCAGGGAGGAAGCCAGCACACAGCGACCGCGCAGCGCCCCCATGGGGACGAAGAGCGCCAGACTCACTTTAAGCCAAACTTCACCTTCTTGTTCTCCACCATCAGGTCACAGATGTACCTGACAGACAGGTAGCGGAGCAGCTTGATATCGTGGCCCCGGACCTTGTCAAAGAGCTGGGAGTCGGCGTTTCTGCAACCAAGTACAGGGCGAGGCGCCATTCTCAGGGCCAGTCCTGAGCTGAGAGGTTCGAACGTCTAACCAGGGCTGAGCGGAGCCTGGGCTAGACCCCCCGCAGCACTGACCCTGAGATCTCCCGCCCTGCCCTGCGCTGAGAAGCGGGCTCCTACCCGGACTGCCCAGCTTTTTTGCGTTGGGCGCTGTCTACACAGCCCTCCGTCTGAGCGCCCCTTCCCCCACTCCTCGCACAAGGAGGGTCACCGAGTCAGAGGGAGCAGTCCTCCAGCTCGACACGATAGCAAATTAACTGCCTGTGTGGAAATGCAGACTGTGCTGTGTAGACATAGCCTAAGAGCGCAGAGGCGAAGGGCTGAGGCAGTCTCAGAACCTGCGGGACTTTCTGCAATTGACTTACATTGGAGAAAAAGCGCACAGCACCAAGCAAGCAAGGCAGGCCTCGGCTCGAACATCTGGAGCCCACGTGCTTGGCCATCCTCAGAAAACAGCATCTCCCGAAAGCCCTCTGGAGCGCCCCACCTGCAAAGGCGGCCCAACTTCCTGCATTTTCCTGGCTGCCCCAGCTACCTGCTTCCACATAACTACAGCATGGAAGCCTCAGACCCGCAATGGAGCCCTCTAGGCCTGGCCTAGCAAGAGCTGGTAAGAAAGGAGGCAACCGCTTCAGGGGCTGATATGCCCAGACAGGGCTGAACTCGGGCTCAACACGGACTTGGAGTCCCCTGAATTGATTCCTGCTTCACGTCCCGCAGGACGAACACGACCTCTCAGTGGCACAGCTCTGAGCTGCTCCCACTGCCGTGGAGCTGTCGATTCAGCGCAGTTAACTCAGCCAATTCTTTTTTTTACTAAAAATTAATTGTGAGTAATTGCACTGTTAAGTAGCAGAATGCTAAATGAAATCGATGGAATGGTCTTCTACATTTTCAGATATCTTGATTTCTATTACAAAGCAGAATAGAAAGGTACAGCACTCACTTTATATTATTTTCATGACAAATATTTGCCCTGTAAAAATTATCAAAGAAATTGTATTTTTCAAGTTCTCTTATGCAAGTACTGTAGTGCAATTTCTACCGTGAAAGTGTACTTTACAAATATACTTTTCTTGTGTTACATAACTGCACTCAAAACCAAAACAACATACAACTTTACAGCCTGAGAGTCCGCTCAGCCCTATTTCTGGGTCAGCTACACAAAGACACTTGTTTACGATTGTGGGAGATACTGCTGCCTGCTGCTTATTTATGTCGGCGCCTGAAAGCACAAACAGCAATTGCACAACCCTTTTCAATCTACGTGTAGACAGAACAAACATCAGCACACCCCTTCATGCGTCGGCCAGAGAAGAGACTTCCACGCTACTGATGCTCGTTAAAAAAAGTGTTAACATTTGTGCCTGTACTCCTTGGGGAAAAACTGTATAGTGCCTCTTCTTTTACATGCATTCTGCCACATATTTCAGGTGATAGCAGTCTCAGACGAGAACCCAGAACATGTCTGTTTTAAGAACATTTTCACAGTGGATTTGAGAAAACAAAGAAGGTACCAACGTGAGATTTCTAAAAATAACTACGGCAACTCAAGAATTTGAAGTGCCATCCAAAATCTGAGCGGGACGAGGTGTGAAGCATGCGTTCACAAGCCTTAAAAGAGCAGCACTATCAAATCTGAACCACCAAAAAAGAAAATCAACCTTCTGCTGGTAGCATCTTATTCAAAGGATATAAACGAACATGCCTCGGTCGCCTCCGCTTTGGCTCATTCTTGAGCAGAGCCCATCCTTAGCATGGACACAGCCTCTGGAATGGTGTCTGGAGCACAAAGGAACATAGGAATCTTTAGCATATCTGGCATATAAATATCTTGCAATGCCGGCTACCACAGCACCAAGCGTATCCCCATTCTCACTTTCAGAGCTCGATGGACAAGATTAAGGGAGAGGTAGAAGGGTATCGGTGCACGGGATGAGAATTAACAACTTGAGGTTCGCGGATGATATCGTTATCATCGAGGAAGATGAAGAGAAGCTAACGAGAACGGTGCAGGTGCTAAATGAGGAAGGGAAGCGGTCTGGACTGATTATGAATATTGATAAAACAATGGTATTTGGAGATAAGGAAATAGGAAGGAAGATCAGTGTAGATGGGATCGCACTAGAGAACGTTGAGAAGTTCACATATTTGGGGAGCAACTTGACACATGATCTAGACCGTGGGTTCCCAAACTGGGGGGCCATGAGGCGATCCAGCCTCCCCCCTCCCCCATTAAGTTTTGCTGCCCTGTTCAGTTCCTTTTTTCTTTGATCAACAAGTTTTGCTTCTTTTGGGGGGGGGGGGAAGGCATGTGAGGGTTTTTCAAAAATCAAAAAGGGGGGGGTGTGATGCCAAAAAGTTTGGGAACCACTGATCTAGACTGTAAGAAGGAAATAGCGAAAGCAAGAGTGAGTTTGACGGCGATGGATAAGATCTGGAAAAGTAAAGCGATTAGCTTAGGAAAGAAGCTGAGCATCTTGAAAACATATGGATGAGAGACATGGGTGATAACGAAAGATTCGAAGAGAAGGATATTGGCATTCGAGAGGAGTTGTTATAGAAAGCTCCTGAGGCTAGGATGGATGCAGAAGGTCATCAACGAGGAATTCTATAGGAAGATTCAGCCAAAAGAGAACCTACAGCAGAAGGTTGTACAACGGAAGGTACAGCTATTCGGGCAGATCTGCAGAATGAACGATGATTGAAAAGTTAAGCCCTGGTATTTGGCATAATGGCTGGTGCGAATAGGAGAGGCAGACCCCACTGAGAATGGGGAGATGATCTAGTAGATTGGCGCGGAGCTAGTCTACAGAAATCAGCCACTCCGCACTGGACAGGGAAAGATGAAGGAAATAGTGAGGGAGGCATCAGACACCAACAGGCGTTGAGCCTCTGGCTGTTGAGGATGATGATGAATGCTGGCTGCAACAGCGCCATGCGAATCCCCGTTCTCACTTTCAGGTGACATTGGAAACAAGGAGCAGGCAGCATTCTCTCCTACAAATTGTAACCAAACTGGTCTGTCTCACCAACTGGCTGAACAAGAAGTAGGACTGAGTGGATTTGTAGGCTCTAAAGTTTTATGCTGTTTTGTTTCTGAATGTGGGAAGGGAATGGGGGGGCTTGTACATAATCCACATTTGTAAGTTTACCTTTCATGATTAGGGCCCTACCAAATTCACAGTCCATTTTGGTCAATTGCATAGTCATAAGATTTTTAAAATCATAAATGTCATGTTTTCAGCTAAGTCTGAAATGTCAGTGCTGTAACTGCAGAAGTCCAAGGTTACTGTAGGGGGCTGCAATACTGCTACCCTTACTTCTCCGCTGCTGCTAGCGGAGGTGCTGCCTTCAAGAGCTGGGCACATGAAGAGCAGTGGCTGCTGGCTGGGAGCCCAGCTCTGAAGGCAGTGCTGCCACCAGCAGCAGCACAGAAGGGTTTTGTGGTCTAGAATCACCCCCATTTTGCACTGCTGCCTGCAGAGCTAGGCCCTCGATCAGCTGCTGCCACTCTCTGGCCACCCGGCTCTAAAGACAGCACCCAAGGGGGACAAGACAGCCCCCAACATTGTGAGCTCCCGTTTTGGGTCAGTAGTCCCAGACTGAGAGACGCTGGTCTCCTCGTGACACCTGGAGAGTACAGGGTAAAAGCTCACAGAAGAACAGATTTTTTCAGGAAGACCAGATGTGTTTTTCGTGGCCGTGAATTTTAGTCATGATAAAAAGATGGCACCACATGCTTGTATTCGCTGAAGGAAACATACCATTGCTTTGTTTTCTTTACACAATGCAAATATTAGTAATAAATACGGGAGCACTGTGCACCTTGCATTCTGTGCTGGAACTGAACTCACCATATTTCAATAAATGGTACTTTCCTTGCTTAACACCGCGCCTGGTACCATTCATCTGCTGATCGCTTCCCAGCCCTGCTCTGTCCCCACGCTGTACTGAACCTCTCTCTTTCAGCACTGCTCTGCCACCCCCCCCAGTCATGATTCGGCAGGATTTCCCTTCCAGGTACAGTTGCTGCACTTTGGCAAGCGGAATGCTGCTCCTTTGGGGGCCTCTTCCTGTGCCGCTCCATCACGGGCTGCAGTCACATGTGCAGCCTGGTCCTCGCTACCCCTTCTCCTCTGGCTGGGATATACACCTGCTAGTCTCAGAAGTGCCATTTCTGTGTAAATTAGGAGCCTCTTGAATGTCTTGCATCTGCCTGCCCCAGTCCCTCCCTCTCAGCCTTCCATGAGGGCTTAGGAGCCTTTAGAGCTGCCTGGCCCAGTGTGCTAGCACATCAGCGTCTCGGTTTGTACCTACATCCAGAAACATTCAGAAGAGCTCATCTTCACGAGCCAAGAAGCCCACAGCTCGCAGTGCCCCACCCTGCTCCCACAGTCCAGCTTAGCCTGGGAGGTGCTGGAAATTCAAGGGCCAATCAGATCTGCCCTCTTTTCTCCCCTCCCAAATGCCACATACAGACCTGAACACAGTATCTTCTTCTGAAAGGTCTTCGGGATCGGCCCAAGCATCGTCAGAGCCCCCTGCAGGACGCCACAGCAGGGACAACAGATAAGTAACAACTCCAAACTCCCCCCACAAGTGGCGTGCCGGTTGGCTCTGTCACTCGACAGATCTCCACTGTGACCATCCTCAGCAGGTCACAGAGCCACGGCAGCCCCACGCTTGCTTGTGCTCTCTCCAGCCTAGGTTTAGACAGCCCCGGCGCTGGGCTCCTACCACGTCCCTGGAGACACACATACCACCACCCTGCCTGGACTGCCTGCCCTCTGCCCTTTCCCTAGCTATAGTCCATGCAACACAGCAAGTCTCTCCCTTTAGTGGCATGCAGCAGGCTGGACACACTGGGGCCAGAGAGTCGCCCTCCGTGGCATGCAGCAGCCTGGACACACTGGTGCCCGAGAGGCGCCCTCCCTGGCATGCAGCAGCCTGGACACACTGGTGCCCGAGAGGCGCCCTCCCTGGCATGCAGCAGCCTGGACACACTGGTGCCCGAGAGGCGCCCTCCCTGGCATGCAGCAGCCTGGACACACTGGTGCCCGAGAGGCGCCCTCCCTGGCATGCAGCAGCCTGGACACACTGGTGCCCGAGAGGCGCCCTCCCTGGCATGCAGCAGCCTGGACACACTGGTGCCCGAGAGGCGCCCTCCCTGGCATGCAGCAGCCTGGACACACTGGTGCCCGAGAGGCGCCCTCCCTGGCATGCAGCAGCCTGGACACACTGGTGCCCGAGAGGCGCCCTCCCTGGCATGCAGCAGCCTGGACACACTGGTGCCCGAGAGGCGCCCTCCCTGGCATGCAGCAGCCTGGACACACTGGTGCCCGAGAGGCGCCCTCCCTGGCATGCAGCAGCCTGGACACACTGGTGCCCGAGAGGCGCCCTCCCTGGCATGCAGCAGCCTGGACACACTGGTGCCCGAGAGGCGCCCTCCCTGGCATGCAGCAGCCTGGACACACTGGTGCCCGAGAGGCGCCCTCCCTGGCATGCAGCAGCCTGGACACACTGGTGCCCGAGAGGCGCCCTCCCTGGCATGCAGCAGCCTGGACACACTGGTGCCCGAGAGGCGCCCTCCCTGGCATGCAGCAGCCTGGACACACTGGTGCCCGAGAGGCGCCCTCCCTGGCATGCAGCAGCCTGGACACACTGGTGCCCGAGAGGCGCCCTCCCTGGCATGCAGCAGCCTGGACACACTGGTGCCCGAGAGGCGCCCTCCCTGGCATGCAGCAGCCTGGACACACTGGTGCCCGAGAGGCGCCCTCCCTGGCATGCAGCAGCCTGGACACACTGGTGCCCGAGAGGCGCCCTCCCTGGCATGCAGCAGCCTGGACACACTGGTGCCCGAGAGGCGCCCTCCCTGGCATGCAGCAGCCTGGACACACTGGTGCCCGAGAGGCGCCCTCCCTGGCATGCAGCAGCCTGGACACACTGGTGCCCGAGAGGCGCCCTCCCTGGCATGCAGCAGCCTGGACACACTGGTGCCCGAGAGGCGCCCTCCCTGGCATGCAGCAGCCTGGACACACTGGTGCCCGAGAGGCGCCCTCCCTGGCATGCAGCAGCCTGGACACACTGGTGCCCGAGAGGCGCCCTCCCTGGCATGCAGCAGCCTGGACACACTGGTGCCCGAGAGGCGCCCTCCCTGGCATGCAGCAGCCTGGACACACTGGTGCCCGAGAGGCGCCCTCCCTGGCATGCAGCAGCCTGGACACACTGGTGCCCGAGAGGCGCCCTCCCTGGCATGCAGCAGCCTGGACACACTGGTGCCCGAGAGGCGCCCTCCCTGGCATGCAGCAGGCTGGACACACTGGTGCCTTTACACCTTTTGCTAGTAGTCACTGAACTCTCAACGTGTCGATATCTTTCTAGTGATTGGGAGCCAGGACATACCCATATTGCAGGTTAGTACGAACGGGCCCAGGCACCCACCCTCGATAGAGCACTGATCGCATGTTCACACGGACTCCCAGGACCTATACAAGGAGCACACGCTGTTAGGAGCCTGGCTTACCTGAGAAAATGTAGTTGTATCCAGTACGACCATACAGCTCCCCCCATCCCGCCAGGGTGGCTGACCTGCACACGTGCTGGAGAAAAAGAGCAGACAGAGGTGGGAGAGAGAACTTCCCTCTGCCCCGCCCCCGCCGGGAGAAGGGACGGCCCCCGCCAAGCAGAGACGCGCGTACGCAGCCTTGCGCCGCCCCCGCCGGGAGAAGGGACGGCCCCCGCCAAGCAGAGACGCGCGTACGCAGCCTTGCGCCGCCCCCGCCGGGAGAAGGGACGGCCCCCGCCAAGCAGAGACGCGCGTACGCAGCCTTGCGCCGCCCCCGCCGGGAGAAGGGACGGCCCCCGCCAAGCAGAGACGCGCGTACGCAGCCTTGCGCCGCCCCCGCCGGGAGAAGGGACGGCCCCCGCCAAGCAGAGACGCGCGTACGCAGCCTTGCGCCGCCCCCGCCGGGAGAAGGGACGGCCCCCGCCAAGCAGAGACGCGCGTACGCAGCCTTGCGCCGCCCCCGCCGGGAGAAGGGACGGCCCCCGCCAAGCAGAGACGCGCGTACGCAGCCTTGCGCCGCCCCCGCCGGGAGAAGGGACGGCCCCCGCCAAGCAGAGACGCGCGTACGCAGCCTTGCGCCGCCCCCGCCGGGAGAAGGGACGGCCCCCGCCAAGCAGAGACGCGCGTACGCAGCCTTGCGCCGCCCCCGCCGGGAGAAGGGACGGCCCCCGCCAAGCAGAGACGCGCGTACGCAGCCTTGCGCCGCCCCCGCCGGGAGAAGGGACGGCCCCCGCCAAGCAGAGACGCGCGTACGCAGCCTTGCGCCGCCCCCGCCGGGAGAAGGGACGGCCCCCGCCAAGCAGAGACGCGCGTACGCAGCCTTGCGCCGCCCCCGCCGGGAGAAGGGACGGCCCCCGCCAAGCAGAGACGCGCGTACGCAGCCTTGCGCCGCCCCCGCCGGGAGAAGGGACGGCCCCCGCCAAGCAGAGACGCGCGTACGCAGCCTTGCGCCGCCCCCGCCGGGAGAAGGGACGGCCCCCGCCAAGCAGAGACGCGCGTACGCAGCCTTGCGCCGCCCCCGCCGGGAGAAGGGACGGCCCCCGCCAAGCAGAGACGCGCGTACGCAGCCTTGCGCCGCCCCCGCCGGGAGAAGGGACGGCCCCCGCCAAGCAGAGACGCGCGTACGCAGCCTTGCGCCGCCCCCGCCGGGAGAAGGGACGGCCCCCGCCAAGCAGAGACGCGCGTACGCAGCCTTGCGCCGCCCCCGCCGGGAGAAGGGACGGCCCCCGCCAAGCAGAGACGCGCGTACGCAGCCTTGCGCCGCCCCCGCCGGGAGAAGGGACGGCCCCCGCCAAGCAGAGACGCGCGTACGCAGCCTTGCGCCGCCCCCGCCGGGAGAAGGGACGGCCCCCGCCAAGCAGAGACGCGCGTACGCAGCCTTGCGCCGCCCCCGCCGGGAGAAGGGACGGCCCCCGCCAAGCAGAGACGCGCGTACGCAGCCTTGCGCCGCCCCCGCCGGGAGAAGGGACGGCCCCCGCCAAGCAGAGACGCGCGTACGCAGCCTTGCGCCGCCCCCGCCGGGAGAAGGGACGGCCCCCGCCAAGCAGAGACGCGCGTACGCAGCCTTGCGCCGCCCCCGCCGGGAGAAGGGACGGCCCCCGCCAAGCAGAGACGCGCGTACGCAGCCTTGCGCCGCCCCCGCCGGGAGAAGGGACGGCCCCCGCCAAGCAGAGACGCGCGTACGCAGCCTTGCGCCGCCCCCGCCGGGAGAAGGGACGGCCCCCGCCAAGCAGAGACGCGCGTACGCAGCCTTGCGCCGCCCCCGCCGGGAGAAGGGACGGCCCCCGCCAAGCAGAGACGCGCGTACGCAGCCTTGCGCCGCCCCCGCCGGGAGAAGGGACGGCCCCCGCCAAGCAGAGACGCGCGTACGCAGCCTTGCGCCGCCCCCGCCGGGAGAAGGGACGGCCCCCGCCAAGCAGAGACGCGCGTACGCAGCCTTGCGCCGCCCCCGCCGGGAGAAGGGACGGCCCCCGCCAAGCAGAGACGCGCGTACGCAGCCTTGCGCCGCCCCCGCCGGGAGAAGGGACGGCCCCCGCCAAGCAGAGACGCGCGTACGCAGCCTTGCGCCGCCCCCGCCGGGAGAAGGGACGGCCCCCGCCAAGCAGAGACGCGCGTACGCAGCCTTGCGCCGCCCCCGCCGGGAGAAGGGACGGCCCCCGCCAAGCAGAGACGCGCGTACGCAGCCTTGCGCCGCCCCCGCCGGGAGAAGGGACGGCCCCCGCCAAGCAGAGACGCGCGTACGCAGCCTTGCGCCGCCCCCGCCGGGAGAAGGGACGGCCCCCGCCAAGCAGAGACGCGCGTACGCAGCCTTGCGCCGCCCCCGCCGGGAGAAGGGACGGCCCCCGCCAAGCAGAGACGCGCGTACGCAGCCTTGCGCCGCCCCCGCCGGGAGAAGGGACGGCCCCCGCCAAGCAGAGACGCGCGTACGCAGCCTTGCGCCGCCCCCGCCGGGAGAAGGGACGGCCCCCGCCAAGCAGAGACGCGCGTACGCAGCCTTGCGCCGCCCCCGCCGGGAGAAGGGACGGCCCCCGCCAAGCAGAGACGCGCGTACGCAGCCTTGCGCCGCCCCCGCCGGGAGAAGGGACGGCCCCCGCCAAGCAGAGACGCGCGTACGCAGCCTTGCGCCGCCCCCGCCGGGAGAAGGGACGGCCCCCGCCAAGCAGAGACGCGCGTACGCAGCCTTGCGCCGCCCCCGCCGGGAGAAGGGACGGCCCCCGCCAAGCAGAGACGCGCGTACGCAGCCTTGCGCCGCCCCCGCCGGGAGAAGGGACGGCCCCCGCCAAGCAGAGACGCGCGTACGCAGCCTTGCGCCGCCCCCGCCGGGAGAAGGGACGGCCCCCGCCAAGCAGAGACGCGCGTACGCAGCCTTGCGCCGCCCCCGCCGGGAGAAGGGACGGCCCCCGCCAAGCAGAGACGCGCGTACGCAGCCTTGCGCCGCCCCCGCCGGGAGAAGGGACGGCCCCCGCCAAGCAGAGACGCGCGTACGCAGCCTTGCGCCGCCCCCGCCGGGAGAAGGGACGGCCCCCGCCAAGCAGAGACGCGCGTACGCAGCCTTGCGCCGCCCCCGCCGGGAGAAGGGACGGCCCCCGCCAAGCAGAGACGCGCGTACGCAGCCTTGCGCCGCCCCCGCCGGGAGAAGGGACGGCCCCCGCCAAGCAGAGACGCGCGTACGCAGCCTTGCGCCGCCCCCGCCGGGAGAAGGGACGGCCCCCGCCAAGCAGAGACGCGCGTACGCAGCCTTGCGCCGCCCCCGCCGGGAGAAGGGACGGCCCCCGCCAAGCAGAGACGCGCGTACGCAGCCTTGCGCCGCCCCCGCCGGGAGAAGGGACGGCCCCCGCCAAGCAGAGACGCGCGTACGCAGCCTTGCGCCGCCCCCGCCGGGAGAAGGGACGGCCCCCGCCAAGCAGAGACGCGCGTACGCAGCCTTGCGCCGCCCCCGCCGGGAGAAGGGACGGCCCCCGCCAAGCAGAGACGCGCGTACGCAGCCTTGCGCCGCCCCCGCCGGGAGAAGGGACGGCCCCCGCCAAGCAGAGACGCGCGTACGCAGCCTTGCGCCGCCCCCGCCGGGAGAAGGGACGGCCCCCGCCAAGCAGAGACGCGCGTACGCAGCCTTGCGCCGCCCCCGCCGGGAGAAGGGACGGCCCCCGCCAAGCAGAGACGCGCGTACGCAGCCTTGCGCCGCCCCCGCCGGGAGAAGGGACGGCCCCCGCCAAGCAGAGACGCGCGTACGCAGCCTTGCGCCGCCCCCGCCGGGAGAAGGGACGGCCCCCGCCAAGCAGAGACGCGCGTACGCAGCCTTGCGCCGCCCCCGCCGGGAGAAGGGACGGCCCCCGCCAAGCAGAGACGCGCGTACGCAGCCTTGCGCCGCCCCCGCCGGGAGAAGGGACGGCCCCCGCCAAGCAGAGACGCGCGTACGCAGCCTTGCGCCGCCCCCGCCGGGAGAAGGGACGGCCCCCGCCAAGCAGAGACGCGCGTACGCAGCCTTGCGCCGCCCCCGCCGGGAGAAGGGACAATGACTGGGCACACAAAGCGGCCTCTGCACCTGGCCATCCTACTGCGGTTCATGAGCTCCTGCAGCTTGCCGACATGCACCGTGCTCTCAAACCTGCCAGGCAGAGAGAAAAGTCCGTTGTCTCACTCCTGCCTCCCACCAGGGCCAGGAGGCTCCTTGAGAACACACGGGCTTCCAACCGGGGTGGGGGGTGGGTCCCATCCTCACAGGCATCCCCGCTGGCCAGCTTGCTCCTGCAGACACTTACTGCAGCCGTGTGAGGCCTGTCGAGGGCAGGGATGCTAAATTCAAGTGTCCAACACAAGACTAGCACTGTGCTTAACCCTGTCACCCATTAAAGGGGGTGTGGGGAGGGAGCCCGCTCCCGCCAGCAGCCATTCGTGGGGGGCCCAGAGGACGAGCAGCTCTCCACGGGCAGCTGGACCATGGGGGGGGGCTGCTCCCAGAGGGCCAGTTAACCATTACCCAGGAAGCATCAGCCATTAAGGGAGATGCTTACCAGGTAACCCTTTCATTAACACCTCTAGTAGGAGTGTTGTCCCATGCAGCACTCCAGGGGAATGCAGGGCTGTGAGGCCCTTTGTTACCACCTGGCCTGAGTGTGAGAGTGTCTTGTTTGCAGCTACCAGTGCTCAGGTCCCTGACAACCGTGGGCTGTCTGTGTCTATCACCACCCCCAGCTCTGCTGCCCCTTTGCAAGTAGGTGCTAGATACTCTCCAAGTCCTCCACATAGCTCCTGTTCCAGCCAACACACAATCACCAGAACTGCTGTTCCCAAACATCGGAGTGGCGTGTGGTTAGCAAAAGCAGGTGTATGTTTATTTAGCAAAGAACAGAGATTCATACAACTGGAAACAAATACAGTAGAATTTGAGTTATGAACTGACCAGTCAACCTCATCTGGAACTGGAAGTACAATTAGGCAGCCACAGAGACCCAAAAAAGCAAATCTTGCACAGGGTGGTATTAAATGTAAACTACTAAAAAAAGGGAAAGCAGCATTTTTCTTTTGCACAGTACACTTTGAAAGTTGTTTTAAGTCACTGTTCAGATGTAAACTTTTGAAAGAACAGAATGTTTTCTGCACTTCAGCGTTATCAATAACGGCTATTCCCAAGGGGTTTGTAACTTTGATGTTCTGGAACTAAATGGTTACATAGACAATAACATCCTGTCACACTTTCCATGTTCTAAACTCTTCTAACAAGCGCTCCTCCCATCTAAAAATGTTTCTCACCCAAAATTTTCAGACAAGCCTGGCTGAGATCCCCATTTCATAAAACAAACCCACTGAAAATGTACTTTCTTTTTCACCCCCAGAAATACCAGACCAAACATCAGACCTTCATCTGAAAACAGGGCTCTCTCCCCACTCCCTATGGCCCACAGAAAAAAAATCAGTTGTGGGCCACACACAAGTGAGAAGAAAAAACAAAAACGGGTGTGCCCCTGACTGAAAAGGAGAAAGATGCCCCCCAAATTCCTCTTGCACGCCAGAGCCTAGCAGAGTCCAGGCTAGAAGATGTTATGTACTCCAGCCCCACAAGGAGATGGGGGCGGGGCAGGAGCACCAGCACAGGGGGGCCGGGGGGAGGGGGACACAAGCCCTGAGCCTCAGGGGATGGATCCAGGCAAGTCAGGGGCTTCATGCAGCCTCTGAGCCTTAGGTTCCCCACCTCTGCCCTCTGGTTTACCTCTCCATTCTGCCACAGGACACTGTGGCACTAAGAACCAAATGAATAATCATTGATTTGTCATATTCTTGTGTTTCTACTTAAATACAGCACCTCACACAGCTGAGTGGATTCCTAAATCTGTGAATAAAACGCACTGTTGTACTGAAAAGAAAGCTACAGCTTCAGGCCAAAGTGACAGTAACCCAGGCACATGCTAAATTGTAACTCTTGCAAAGTCCAGCCTGTGGCGTCTCTCCATTCTACAATGGCCAAACTGTCCCAGCAGGCGCCACACCTCTCAGGAAGTGCTTGCATCCAGATGTGATGCCGCTCTCTCGCGCCAGCCCAATGATTGTCCGAAAAGAACTTTACAAACGTTTAATTCGTTTTCATGACTGAAATCTTGTGGTTATCTGACGAGGCAGCACAAGCCCCACGGAACTGAAATCACCAGGCAGAACAAACCTAACATGTGTCTGAAGAGAACACCTTGCTGACGGCACTGGGGTCCCAAAGCATAAATCGCATTCAGGCAAAGTACCGGCCCAGCCTAACCATGCTCAGAGATGAGACCTGAAACACTCTCAGCCCCAAGTAAAATGACACATTCTTCTGCCCACAGTCAGCGGCACTACACAGTTCACAGAAGCATTCTGACCCCACCCACATGCTCCTCCCTTGCCCTTACTCTACCTCAGCCTCACCCCCCCAAGGCCGCAACCTGTATTGAACATCACGAGCGCATTCACCTACACTGGATAGCGTTCCGTGGACGAAGTAGCCCACCCTTAACTGCTGTGCACTTGAAGCTGCTTTGCAATATACTCGGTTTTCCCCATGCGGCAAACTGAAGTTTAGCTTATTTCTTCACTTGTAGAAAAGCCCAAGAGCTTGAGGCAGCAGGTACTCTCAAAGGGCCAAAAAGACTGCAAAGCTCCACAAGATTAGGGTCTAGAGCAAAATATTCTAACACCATGGAACAGCCTCCCAGCTGCCAAATTCACAGTAGGGTGTGGAGCCATTCCCAGCTCAGTAGTGCAGAAGTAGCCTAGCAGATGACAGGTCCAGATCATGTATCCCATAGACAGTGCAGACACAGAGCTCTGTAAAGGGTGCCAAACCCTGGTGTGCAGGAACCTCGGCTGGGTGTTTTGCGGGTGAACAGGGTTTGGCTGGTTTGTATGGTTCTGTTGCTACCAGCTCTCCTACTTACACATCCTGACCCCGGTCCGTGCTCTCGTACTCCAGGAAGACAATCTGCCGGGGGTAGTGGCCACAAATTTCCCCATTCACATTCTGGATCAGGCTGTAGCAATAGTCCTTGGCAAACAGCTCCAGGCAGCGCGTCTCAATCCTCTCCACCTGCAAGCAGCCAGTTACAGCTCAGGGGCTGGAGCCCAGGCACATGGTACCTCTGCTGCTCATGGGCTTTGCCCCAGACAGAAGGGAAGAGGGCACCTGGTCCCTTTTGGGTTAGGCAGGGCAGAGCAAGGGCAAAGGGGGGGCCTTGGCACAGCCTGGAGAAGGGTGGGGGAGGGCTCCAGTGAGGGAGGCATCCAGTGGGGGGGGCAGTTGGGGAGGAGCGGGACCTGGAGGAGGGAGAAGAATGTAGTGGGGCCCAGAGGGAGGGGCTGGTGGGGAGGGGTGCCCGGGGGGAAGGGCAGTCAGGGCAGGGCAGGTGGGGGGAGGG